TTCAAACGAACCCCCCCCCCCTACACCCTGTCCATCTTACACATTCACATTTCTTTTGGGTACATTGTGAGCTCAGTAGGGATCATCAAAGTTTGCTCCGCTCTAGATCACTGTTCGATTGTTAGACTATTGTGAAATATCTTTGCACATACACAGTGTCCTCAAACACCATCCAATCCCAGAAACCGATACCAATTAAAACTTCGTTGTTCGCGAATATCTACCTATAGGAATACAGCAATACCGGGGGGGGGTCCATTTGAACAAATCGTTCACCCCTTTATCGATTAACTAAATCCCATAGGATGAATTCTTAGCACTTTTGATAAGTTACAGTGAGGAAAGCGTTAAGCAATGGAGAAAGAGAAAATATATATTTATTAAACGAAAACCAAATGGATGTGATGTGATAAAATCCTAATGTGACAGATGATTATTCAAGTCAGTAATAATATTTGCTCGGTTGACCAAGATACGAGCAAAATAAGGGATTATGCTGTTTTTGTATGTGGTGGTGCATGCACAATGTATCCGAAATTGGGAACGAGTACTCGGATGAGAGACAGATTTATTGAGATGGGCATGCAGGCAATGTTCTTCATTTGACAGTATATGGCTGATAAATCGATCGCATGAATCAAAATTCTTGCTCACAATAGAGTCAACCAAAACGGTCTTTGAAATGTCATTTCACCGGGAAAGAAAGAGATCTGGAAAAGAGAGAAGAGTGTTAAAAAGAAACTGATTTTTGCTACTGTTGTTGCAAAAATGAATAATATCAATGCGATTTGATTGACTCCACTTAGCCAAGCCTGGATCAACTGACCGTCTGTTTCTACGAACTCGATCTGGCTGCATTAGTGCTCGGCCTGAGCGCGTGGCCATGGATCTCCGAGGTGACCCAGTTCGGTGTGCGCACTCGTCCAGTGGAGCTAACGGATCGGAGCGTTTTATCTGGTGCTGTGGATTGGGTCACTCTCTCCTGGTTGATGGATGATTTGCATCGGAAACTGATCCATCTTTCCGACGCCAAGTAAGTCATTTTCCCCCGTAGGCGATCACGCTGGTTCGCTGTTGGGTCGGAGTGACAAAATCAGGCCCAAATTCGTTAACTATGCAGCAATGATAATCGCGCTGAAGAATAGGACAGCTTTTCAGTTTGCGAAAGACTTTTGTTTGATGTGACTGATACCTTGACTTTCCTGGTAAATTTAATCTCACCAGACTACACTAATTCAACGTCGATCGTTTCATTCTGAGGGAAATTGTGAGTGCAGTAAAGATATGCTTATCTCGTGTACTCACATTCTTCATCATTTTGTTTATCTGCGATAGCCCTTTGCTCTCATTTTCAAGTGATTTGCCCATACCGTGTTTCTTTTTTCTATCTGTCTAACCGTAAGGATAGCAAGAACAGGAAATCCGTCATGGACACTTACTGCTTCATAGGCCTAATTTAAACCGTTTCTGTGTTATTCAGGTACCCGAGCGCATTTTTTCTCTCAGCTATAGGAGCTGTTCTTTTTCCTTTTGCCTGTCGGTTCTGTTGCGTTTGCACGCTTCACATTCTCAGCACCGCCACGCCAACCGGGTGGTATGCGTTCGAACAATTGGATCACGTGGATCCGCGAGTGCGCTCAATTCTACTGCTACACTTGATTCCGCATCTTCAGCGTGTAATGAAAATGGCGATTGAATGCCTGATCGGTAAGTGGTCTGTTCCCCTCCCTCTTTCCCCAATCACACCGCGATTGTTTATATCCGCTATCTTTCTTTTGGTCGTTCCAGTTCTCCCACCCAGGATCGCGGGTTTTCACTTTTGGTGTATAAAACCGTTATCTTGCACCGGGTTTGGTTGTCATCTTTTTGGCTACCCGTTTGGTTCTACCATAATGGAAACAAATGAAGGAAGTAAAAGCTTACAGCTACGTATAACGCGGTTAAACTAAATGTCCACAGATAGCATCTATGCGCCTGAGTGACGTTGTTCTTAACACAGGTATATTATTCCGTGTTTCTACCCCTCCCCCCACCGGAACAAATCTTTTGATCCTGGGTTTCATGCCCTCATGTCAGATCCTCGATCTGATTACTTGTGGTCTTCTTTCATCTACTTGCTGCTTTGGCCAATGTCGCACACCAAGTATGAGCTTGATAAAACCGCGTTTCATTCGGAATTCTGTTTCTTGATGCACTCTGCCGGGAAGCGAACACCAAGCGCGACAAATGTCATAGCATGAGCTGAAAATCAACCACATTTCATCTGTGATAATCGTTTGTTTACACCGTTTTTTCTGCGAACAGTTGGTTTCGGTGGTTCGATTTGAGTCACTGTGAACCTCTTGGCTTCGATTCTGGTTGTCCTCTGTGATTCGGGTCCGTCAACGGAAACCGAGAGTGGTTCAAACACAAATTCATCCATGCCTTGATAAATAGCAGACGGGGCAGACCCCATAGTCAGGAAGACCTGCTATACAGTTCGGAACTTGAAGTAGCAAGCCATATAAGGCCCCATCAGGTCAGGTGTGGTTTTAGTAAACCGGACGACGGAAAATCTACCCACCACCAAAGTCGGGTGGCGGCGGCCGGTCTCAAACCTCGAAGCATAGGGGCCAAAGCATGCCGGTGACAGTGACTCAACCGTTGCGCCACCACCACCATAGCACATTCATTCATCCGAATGAGAAACTCAATAGTTCTTACACTAACACTAACTCTATCGTGCGAAATCGGAAGTGATCTGTTCTCGCGCAGAAAGCCTGCTGGATCTTTTTTTTTTGATTTTCCACATTATCCCGGTACTGAGAAGAACACCAAAAATGAAAAAAGTTAGTCGGGAAATAGTAAGATTTCGTTGGTCGATTACCTGATGACATTGGTTTCATTTTGGGCAACAGATGAACATTCCTGTCGCTAATCTAGTGCTCCAGGAAAAGGCAGTTGAACATTGAAAACCATAAAGTCCTAAACTTAGCTCTGGGCTTTTCTAAAAGTGCTGCCTCACATAATGGTACCCGCTTACCAGAATCGAGAGTTAACAACATGGTTGAAATTGAATTGTACATGAAACGCCGGTAGAATTAGTGTATGCACAAAGTGAGTAGTTGCACACACACCATCACTCATGCATCCCGCCTTTTCACCCCATATATCTGAAGAATCACGTGACCGAATCAAACAATCGGTTCTCATTACACAGCCTAGCATTTGATAAAGTGTGCCACTTCAGTGAAACCAATGCTTTTGTCCGACACAACCTCATCCACCGATATGTACTGATGATACCAAGCTAAGACCACTCTATCAGAGCAAATCTCTTCTCGCTCACTTAAAATCCTGTTTCCTCGGGATAACTACTTCTAGCTCATTAACAAAAGCGTACTTGTTAGTAATCGTGCAGGCCTACAAACCACATTGTATCACTGCTCCAGATATTTTCGAAGACTCAACTGGTATATGGATTGGTTGGGGATTGACTTTTGTTGCCAGGTCTGATATAGTCAGTATGAAAATCACCATTGGGGTTTCTGCCAACACCGGTTTCCCCTGTCACTGATCACGAGCTATCTGAATTTATCATCTCTCTCCATTTGCAGGTAATCGCCATTTGTCTGATTGTGACCTCATCCCCACGTCCTCTTCCAGTAGTAGTAGTAGTAGTTCAGAGGATGAAACTGCCCCGTCCAACACTCCGATTCCCGTGCGCCTCAATCGATCCAAACAGACAGACATCCCTGAGCGACCGAAGTCATCCTCACAGACGATCCGGACTGCAACGAATGAAAATCCTGGTCCATTCGTATCGAACATAGTCTGTTGCGGATTGTCCTCGTTGTGGATGCTCTGTTGCGGTCTGCGTGTTCCCGGCCCCAGTCTGGTCGACTTGAAACCACGTGCAACTGTGACGAGTGCGGCCCCGCGCAACAGCTGTTCATTCATTGCTGCTTGTATTGGTCGATTGGCTAAAGCATGCCTCCATGCCGAGGCACCTGTCGTTATCCGTGTCCCGGAACTCACTGCGCGTGACAAACGTATTGTGGACTATTTCTTCGAGGCAGATCAATCAGACTCGTCTTCCCCGGTCACAGAGTCCGAGGATTCTGGTAGGTTTCTTTTTTCATATGATGAATTCGTCGTGTAAATGAGCGTGAACTGAAGAGCTAGGAAGCACTGGACAGCTGTTTCGGCCTGGTTGGATCACATCATGCAGTTTAGCTACGTTTTGTATTCGCATTGGTTGTTGTTTTTCGCTGATCGGCATTGGTTTTTTACACGGATTTTAAGTTTGACGGTTGAACTGGGAATACCAATCAAATGTGGAATAATATTACACAACCGAAAGTTTGCAGCCTAATCTACATGTGCACGCAATTTTGCGCAAGCTGTTAGTGTAAGCGCGTAAGTACCATAAAATTATATTGGTTTTCTAACGTTATGCTATTGTTCATTGCAATTTATGCATCTGAATTGTTTGCATAGTTCTGATGCAACGATTATCCCGGAACTTTTGTTCTCAGCCTTAAACTACTACCCTTGACCGGAAAAAATCGCCAGACTATGGTACAGAATGTGCGAAAAGCCAGATTCCTCTGGACAGTGATTTCATGCGCGTCTCTCCCCCGCTTTCGCATCAACCAACTACATCTATTCATGTCTCAGGTCTTCGTCTATGCGAATCATGTAACGTTTACTTTACAAGCTTTCCGCATCGTTTTACCAATACCCTCCCTCATTTTGATCACACCTGATTTTTTTAGGGTCCAGCTAAATGCTGTAAAGACCGCATTGCGTTAATAAGGTTCAAAGAGGACCTTCTCTTCTCCGGTTTACTCTCTTTGTTTCAGTGTCTGATACGTCCTCCCTCTCCTTCATTATGCTGATGACCTTGGGAACCAAAATAGCACCGAGCGAATACCCTTGCTTCTTTTCAGGAGAGAGAGAGATTTCAAATCCGGCCCGCGAGGTCCCCCACCGGAGCTGACTAGTTGTCGCTTATCTGTCCGGGTTCAACCCCCCCCCGCCGCCGCCCCGTGATTAATCGCTTTCATCCTCCCGCTAGTAGTAAAAACGCTGCACACATGTGAGAAGGTAGTCAACCGGTTAGATTAGATAACGGAAATATCACTTTGTTTCGTTTGCTTATTTGTTTCACGGTAAACGTTTTTTTTTTGAAAAGCAGTGCGTTTGCATCAGACTGTCTTTGTTGTAGTGCAATGTTGCTCAACTTTTCTTTCCTTTCGTTACGTCTTATGCGCAATATTGTTTTGTGCCTTTCTGATTTCTCACTTTTCTCATCTCCGTCCGTCTTCGATTTTTTTTCAATTTCCAATCTATAACAACACCAGGCTGTCTCTCTTCGGACTTACACACTGTTCTGGACTGGTTATTTGCCATGGCCCCGGACGGTTTGCCACATATCGCTGCGGCCGCCCTGCATTGTCGTCTTGTCACGTATCTGACTGATTTATATTGGAACAGTAGTTTACGGGCCCACGCGACACCAGATGCCGGTACAAGCGATGCGAAATGGGTAGGTCATATGTGGATGGTGTGCCCCATTGTCATCGATCTGTGTTTGGCAGGTTCATTCGCCTTTACTGTTCGCACTGAAATTTACAACTGTACTACTTGTCACTCGTGGTAGGAATTTTCCGTGGTCATTACATAACACTCACTTTGTACTGAGTGCTACTGAATTATGGGTTGGACACAGCTTTCCAGAATCCCACCCGGTTTCACAACTATTTTACCACTTATCAAGGTTGCGTATCTCTAGTAACAGTTTTCCCAGTCGTATTCCCTCATATGAAATAGGCCGCAGTATAGTTTTGAGTCAAGCCAACCATAGGCCAGCCATGTGTTGGTTCGACATGCCCCAAATAGAAATATATATATTTCACACACGCCTGATGCCAGACTGTGCGCCAAACAAATCGTGGTACAATAATCTTCATAAAAGGAAAAATGCTCCACAATTTACAACTCTCATGCATGATGGTGTCCGCTTTGGGCTAGGGGAGTTTAATTGCCCGAACAAGTGATTTTGAGCACATAATTCTGGTTTCAACAAGCGGATGATGCCTGGGCGGTTGCCAGTGTTTTAATTCGATTTGTGTTGTGCGACTCGATAAATGATGGTGAAAGTCGAATTAGTATCTACCCTATATCCAGTTCCAATCAAGCGTGCAACAATCGAACTGGAAATAATTCCGATTTATCCGTGTCTAAGCCAGATGGGTTGATGTGGACATCCGTCGACGCAACTGGGGATCAAAACCGGGACTTCATAGGCAGAACGTAAGCATGCTACCCACTCGACCACCGGGAAGCAGATCAGACCGTTTCTCGTTTTGCATATGCACGAGATAGCACAACCCATCTTTGCGAGCTTGTTGCCCGCCTCGCTCTTCTCAGCACTAGCCTCCGGGGTTATGACTCTTCTGGGTTGCATCCACATTTAGAATGGCGACTGAGCTCGTAGGGATCCACTGCACTGTTGCAACGTACGGAGCCTACTAGCGATATGCGTAGACCCGTGAACTGAAGGAACCGTGTGACTCAGCGATGGAGTAGCGATCCCCAGGTGCCCGACTGCAGTACCCGAAAGTGACACGGCCAAACAACGGTAACGATAGTAGCGACACGCGGACCCGTACTATCCCCGGAATCCGACCAGGAAGAAAGAGGAAGGCAGGTCTTCAGGTGAGGTTGTATATTAGGCTCGACCCGAAAAGGCGATGAGACTGGACAGCTCAACCGTTCATATACAAATTGTAAATTAGCTCGAAAGTGATGAGTCAGAGAAAAATGAACCAATCAGGGACAGGATGGCCGGGGGTGCGGAATGAGTCTTTCTTGGCGCGAATATTCGGAAATTTAAATTTTATAAAAAATAATTTAAAAAATAGGGGAAAAAGTCAATTTTAGAGTGGAAAATAGGGTCTATACAACAGCACAAAACCACACCAATGCGCTGCTGTCCTACGATCCACTGAGATGCACTCTTGTACCACACTCCCATGCGATTTGTTGATCTCCATGACATCGGCTTATCCTTCCCAGTTAACCATCCGAAGTGCAGTAAAAAATATGAACATAAAAAAGTCATTATGCTTGTGGATTCGCGCGACTTTTGACCATTCCCCTGCTATCTGATCTGTTCTCCTTTGTTCCGTTCCCATCCTTGCCCTGTGCTTTTATTCAGTCTCCGGACTTGCTTGTGTACACAAAATCGTTATTGGATCAAGAATGGGACACTTCGGTCAAGTGGAAAAGTAAGTTCTCCATCCCTTTTTGTTTTCTGACTGTACACACACAAATGCGCGCGCACGCACACGACTACTGGTGGTGTTTTGGTTCGCTTGCTTGTTTTCTGTTGTCTGTACCTTCTGTAAATCAATTGGTCGAATATCATTTCATATTGCCCAAGTGATATTCCAAACAGTCCCATTGACCTCATCGAAGTCGCCAGGTTGATGCACTTTTAAAGCCACCATGCAGCACATACTTAACCTCCGGTTGAAGGGCAGGAGTGACGATTGTGAGAGGTGCCTCGGTTGCACACACCCCAGTCTCCATTATCTATCTTGATTGTCTACCTTGCTATTACGCGTGTCTTCGTCGGTCCTCCTGTATCGGGCCGTGCAGCGCTGATAACAATGGATAATGTGTGATCAACGCTTGGGGCACGGCTTACATCTGTCACGTGATGTTGCAGTCCAGTGCTACACCTCGATCGATATCAGCATCATTGTTGACCAGATACACATCCAGTTTGTTCGAGGCTTGTAGATTATATTCCATCTCTGCTTGATATCACCACAGAACAACCACCTAGTACTGAACAATGAAAATGACCATTTTGGTCATACATGTTCAATGTTCTTCAATTAGAGGCAGAGGGTAATTTCCCGTATGAGCCTCATCACC